CGTCAGGTACAGATACACTGACATGGTATTTTCCCAATGCAGCTTCAGCGACTTACCGTTTGAGCGTGGATTTGTTTGGCCATCCTGTCTACTCTAAAGTAGTGCGTTTTAAAGAAGGTTGGTCTACGATAATTTTCGTCAGGTTCTGTGCCTTCCCGTGGGGCAAATCCGATCTCCTGTAAGGTTGGTGTGATTACCGGAGAAAGGTTGACTGTACTGTGAAGGTAAACGTGTTTGTTGTTCTTCCCTGGATGATACAGGTTTAGTTCAGGAACTTTAAACTTTCCCCTATCTATTCTGCTCGAATGCGTGGACTTATCGTCAAGGGACTCACATTATGATGCAACAAATCCGAAAGATCTGTTCTCCCGCGTGAGCGCTCATCTGATAGTGAACTACCTGAGGGAAGTTGATCTGTATCATAAATTGTTACTGTGAAATGTAACTATCATAAATTGTAACTGTGAAATGTGACTAACAAATTGCCTGCCTTTAAATTTGGTGCTATGACTTTTTCTGCTTTTAAATGACAATGTAATGAATATATGTTTTTGAAATAAAACTCATTCCGAGTATGTACTTACAATGTTTATTAATGCAAACTTGTTCTCGTCACTATATGGCTGGAATAATGCCGATGTGACGCAAAACCCAACTCAACTCAACTCAACCCTATCTAGGCCTGTACAACACCAATATGTAAAATCAAGACAATATGTAAAAACTAACGCAATATGTAACAACTTAACGCAAAACGTAAAAAATAACGCAATATGTAAAATATTAACCCAATATGTAAAAGATGTCTTTAACTCCGAAAGTACAACACCTAACGCAAAATGTAAAAACTGTTTTTAACGTAATATGTCAAAAATTAACGCAACATGTAAAATCCACTTTTAGGTTTGAATATTACGGATGGCGATCGAAATCCATTTTTGCCACAAATTTGGCAAAAATTGACTTTATTTACAAAAAATAAGATATCGCAATGTTTCTTACAAAATAAACTTCATATTACATTTTTTTACAAAATTTTACCTCGTTCAGTATACATGTAAGCAGAGTCGATAAACATATAATTTCCTTGTATATAGAGATATTTTAATCGATCTTATAGTCTATTTTCGAAAGTTTTAAGGAATAATTTTATTCTTCAAACTTGTTTTCATAAATGGTATTTTGGGTTATATTCATTATGTCTTATTCAAGAAGGTTTGACCTTTCCTTCAAACTGTACATTCCGTTGTTGATAATCTGTGATTACCGAATTGGGTTTTAAAGAAAACCACTTATTGATCCTTACATAATTTGGTTTGAAATAACATGCATGTTGTAGCAATGTTTCCAATTTTAATTCATTGTGTATGGGGGTTCGAATTAATTGTAATTGGTACTTGACATCGACATGGTAGCTCTGACTATTGGACTTCGGCCAAGCAACTGATCTAGGAGAGAGCGCCAATAGTTATGATTTGACTGTGTACATGAAACAACGATGGGCGGTTTAAAGGAATACTGGAATAGTTCCTAGATGCGTGCATCTTGAACCGCCATAGCTTCAAGTAAAGCAGCTGAGAATGTGAAAGAAGGTATTCTCTCTCTCTCTCTCTTTCTCTCTCTCTCTCTCTCTCTGAGCGATCACCATCGGGATCCAATCTCAAATGTCTCTGGTATTACTCAATGTCATTGGCAGCAATATTACCTGTGACTTGATTGAAGGAAATCAGATGTGATTGGAATGCAAATACCCGAATCACTGCAATGCATCTTGCATGTCCATTATACCTAAAACTGCAAGATGGATTTACCATTTCTAAATCAAAGATACTTGTGTCCAGCGACACATTTATACTTAAACAGTAATTTTCACATTTTGGAGTAATATAATATTTGTAAATACATCATCATTAATATGATATTTTCCCTAAAATTCATTCAAAGTGTTTCTGAAACAAATTCCCAAGTCTCTCGTAATTCCTATGGGATGGCTCAAAGCTTTTTTATCAGGATTTGTTGCATTTCATTTGTGTATTTTGAGGTGAGATTAACAAATACACTGCCAGGAAAATAACTAATACATTAATTCCATAAAGGAAAACATTTTGCTATTAATTCACCACTAATAGGACAAATTTGAAAACAAAACTGGTCTCTCAGCAAAAACAATGAAAAGAAAAAGAAAAAAATACAAAAAACTTATATCTGCAGAATTCCAAGTTGAACCTTGGTTACCGTACCCAATGCGGAGGGTAATTTTATGTCCCCAACTTTGCGCTACATGCGCGTTGTGGGATAAAAAAAGGCCAAAAGGTAAAACCTCCTTGAATAGGACATAATGAATACAAGACATGTGAAAATACTATGGAGAATAAAATGATTTCTTTGGATATTGTCGAATATAGATTATGATATCATGTATCGCTATACATGTATATTACACAATTATCGGCTTTACTTTGGTGTTAAACGACCCAAAAGATCAGATATCAATTAAGTCAGAAATGAATGAATAAAAAAATTAATTTTTTTTTAAAAAAATTAGTCAGAAATGAGGTTTATTTTGTCAGAAATATTGCAATAGCTTAGGTATTTTGAAACACAATAAAGTAAAGTTTCTAAAAAAAATAAATTCAGTCGCCAAAACAATAAACAATAATATAGCTGTATTTTACAGATTCCGTTAATCTTTTACAAATTGCGTTAAAAATTGTTTTTACATTTTGCGTTAGGTGTTTACATATTGCGTTAAAGACATTTTTTACATTTGGCGTTAATCTTTTACATATTGCGTTATAGTTTACGTTTGGCGTTAAGTTTTTACATATTGCGTTAGTTTTTACATATTGTCTTGATTTTACATATTGGGGTTGTACACCTGTACAAGGCCCACCACAGAGAGGCGTAGATCATCAGGCTGCAGCAGTGTTTAGAACTATGTGTGGTTAAAGTGGTCGCTTTACTCCTGCTGGGGATTCATGCAGGAAGCTGTAGTCCTGTACGTCCCCATGATCCCCAGTTAGGTTTCTAGCTTTGGTTGTTGGTGGTCTTAAGCTCGTATGTTAATAGTATGAAATGTCATAATGATTTGTGTTGACTTGTTTGAGTGGCATTTAGAAGTTGGTGTGATGAACAACGGGGAGAGTTATATGGATACGTAACTTCTTTAATATAATAATACTAAAGGCAAGGTTTATATATATATATATATATATATATATATATATATATATGTGTGTGTGTGTGTGTGTGTGTGTATATATATATATATATATATATATATATATATATATGGTCCTCTCTTCCGCTCATATTATATTAAAGAAGTTGTATATCCATAGAACTATCCTCGTTGTTGATTTGTGTTGAGTAGAGTATATAAGAATTTGAAATAATTATTTTTTGTCTTGCATTCTGTGTTATGTTCCTAATATTTTACTGTCTTGTGTGATGAATCTTTATCATATTTAATAATGCTCTTCTAGTAATTCTATGGATGAAATATATGTTACTTTAAAATGTAACACTCTCATTATAGCCTATTTCTGGTGTCCCCCGCCGTGATGTTGCTGGAATATTGCTAAAAGCGGGGTAAAACCAAACTCAATCAGTCAGAAACTCATTATAACTGTAGTTCGCGACTAAATATACCGCAAGTAAAAAATAGTTTGTTATATCCACCAGTTCCTTGAACAAGTTGTTCAATGTATTTAATTGAGTATATTGGCTATATTTTTAGAAGGTGTTTTTTTCTGAGTTCAAAAACAAAAGAGTTTGGCGCATGGGGAAGTATCCATTTTCCCATGTCATAATAATACTGTTTTAATGATTTGGTTATCAATTTGTCATGTTTACAAGGATATATCCCCGATATGTTCTTAAATATATATATTGCCTTAAGACACAGTGGGTAGATTAACACTTCTGCGATGAAGTATTTCATATAATTTCTGACTACATCATTTACCACAAAGAGTGGTGAGTTAGACTCGTGGTTTAAGCGTTCACTCGTTTGAATCCCTACTTGGGCCAGATGCAATTGGCAGATTATTGTTCAAACATACACACACGATTTCACAACATCCTTGTTGCAAGAATGTGAGGAGAGAACAAACAGAGACTAGTCTGTTTCACACTTAGTGTCCAGAGATCATGGGTTCGAATACCGGAATCGTCATGGTTTTCTGTTTTCTCATGGTCCTCTCTTTCTTGGCATTAAATAAACCTTTACACTGACTTATTCACATGGATCACGTAGTGAATAGATCTTTGAATTGTTCTTGAAATGATTGTTACTGATAGTTACTTGGGAAAGTGAAATTGCAGATGTAACATATGTTACATTTGATGAGTGAGTGAGTTAAGATTTTAAGTCACATCGGCAGTATTTAAGCCATATCGTGACTACTACATTTGATGACTCACTAAAAGGTACTGTGCATTCACAGTTTACGGGGAAGGGAGACGTACAAATTTCTAGTCTACGAGCTGTCAGACTTCCATTTCTGTGGAAGCGGCGGTGGCTGAGTGGATTAGATCGCTGACTTTGTGTGCTGGTTAATAGTTACCTCACTCCGAGAATATTGGTTCGAATCCAGGATGAGAATCAACACCCAAAAGTACTAGAATCTGTACTAAGAAAGTGTAATTCCAAAGATAAGACGTGTAAAAGCTGAATACTTTCTATTAGGCATTGAGTTTTCAAGGTTTTAAAGCAGACATGTAAAGGACAATCCCTGACATGACACATCAGTGACAAAAATTATGCCTGATGCAATTTTCTATTTTGACTTCTCCTTGCATGTGTTTATGAAGGGTGCCACTGTTAGGGCAGGATACAATTTTTGGGACATGTGTAGAAAGGATGGTATGTGTTTGCTTCTGGTATTTGTAGGTAATAACTTTGCTAATGACTACAATGGTGACAGATGAAGTCCTGCAATCTGAAGTGGTCCAAGTCATAAATGTGATGGTAAAATCAACTATCAATAAAGGATAAATTATACTAGACATTTTAATATAGAAACAACTGCGATTTTGTTTAAATCATGACAGTGATATATTTTGCGAATTTAAGTTCATCTATTTTGATATTGGGTCAGTCTAAGTTACGTTATCAAGATTGTCTTGGTGACTTCATTATTTTCCTTCTGTGCATTCTGGTGGTTATGTTCCTGTTTTGGGCACAGCGCACATGTACACATATATCTGGAAAAAAAGACCATGAGTGTTTACAGCATTTTTCGACTTTTATCTCTTGATAAATGTGATTTTCTCAGTCAGGCAAACATTACTGATCTTTGACTGGAATATTTGAGGTAAGGTGATGTGTGGTGAAATTTGCGTTTACAGTTATTGTAGTTACATAGTGACTTGCAATCGCGTGAGCCTATTCCTGGCTGATTGCACTCAGCGGTACTATTGCTGTTTCATTTTCAAGTGCCAGTCCACCAAGATAACCAGCCTCAAGTTTACCTCAATCACAACTGACTGACCGGTCCCACAGATTACTCAACCATGGCTAGCATCATTGACAAAATCAGTTACTACACACACTCCACAACAAGAAAATATAACTATCCACTGAGAACAACCTCAGTCGTTCATAATAACAATTTCATCGCAATCTCAGATATCCTGATCACATTTAATCTACCAATGATCCCATTATTAATGCCACAAATTCTCTAAAAATGGTACCTGAATGTTAAAGTGAAATTGATTTGAAAGAAAAAAAATGTTTTCATCTTACTATAGTATTTGTGGTGTGAGCAGATCAAATAGAATGGGAGATTGTTGGTCATTAAAGGTGTGACATGCTGCTTTCTATGGCTCCCATATTGGAAAACTACGAGTTTACACAAATCACTCATTCATATACGTATTTCTATGATGCATGCAATTGCGATATTTAGTTGTAGTACTTACATCATCCATCACACCATAATACGAAGCTACTAAAGTGCTGTCACAAGATCCAATAACCATAGGCTCGTTGGATGTTTGTATACTTCCTGTAAAAACAACATAAAATTAGTCAAGTGTCAGAGCAATATAGCATAGAAAAATTAAATGCAGTTGCTGGAATGAAAGCACAATTGGCGACTCATGGTAATGCCTAATCCAAAATGCCACACTGAGTTGAATTTCTACATGCTTTAGAATCGCAGTTCATTCATATTCCATATTATTCATCAAATTCATTTCCCAGGCTGGCTGGTGCCCGCATAAAACAGTGGGTACTCGCGAGGAGGAGCATCCTCATGGTGAGTGCTGTCATCCACTAAGCTGACAGAAACAATTAGTAAAAACTCATCATCTGCCGATGATGATCCTAAATCAGAATCAACAGGAAAAGAAGATTCTGAATTCAAATTTGATAATTCGGAAGATTATAATAAAAACATGCCATACAACCATTTATAGGTCATCATGCCCATACTGATCAAAATCGTCAAGATAAGGTGCTGATCCGAAGGTCAATATACTCATTCATGTTTATTGATTCATTCTGTGTGACAGTCCTATGACTGTCGAACTCACTTGCCAACGCCTTTTATCTGTTCAAACTATATCCTAACGTTTTATACCGCTTCTGACCGTTTAATGTTTAAATGTATGAAGAAAATTAAATTTTACGATAAGATGTAGATTTTACATATGGAATATCAGGTTTTTACTGTTGGCTGTGATAATGGAAGTTATAGTGATTTTCGTCATCATTTTACATTATATATTTGTTTCTAAAGGAAATATTTCTTGTTACTCGCCACGAATAACTATAATATTGCTTTCATGGTATAAAGCAACAATTACGCACTCACTCACTCATAACCTGATGCAACCGTGAACATCCGGGCTAGAATTGGTCTTCAGTAGACCATGCTTATCGTTTTGACCGTTTTGATCAGGAGGTCAGGTTTTCTGACTTGGTTGACACATGTCATCGTATCCCAACTGCATTCATAGATGCTCATGTGGTTGATCACTGGATTGTCTGGTTCAGACTCGATTATTTACAGACCACCATACACCTGGAATATTGTGCGGCGTAAAACTCCAACCAAGCAACCATAACCTGATGCCAGCTGATTGGTTTGTTACAAACATGTGTGTTTGATGGATACTGGTTTACAAATTACATGTAATTCATATTCATGAATGTCAACGGATTCCCTGATAAACTTGAAATATTATTTGTAAGGAACCAGAAACAACCCTGATTTGATCCAAATAGATATCTGTTTGAGTATTTCTCTGAGTCATTGTATCCGATCTTGTTTCAATTGTAAATGTTCTGGATTGGAAGGGGATCATCATGACATAGTCTGTCGTACAGACCCTGAAGCAAATATATCCAAGAAAGCCCACGCAAGTCTAGAAAATGTGGCAAGTCTAGATTTCCTCAGCTTCCGAAAATGAAGAAAGTCTCAGGGCTCCTTTTCATAATATTATATTTTATTTTACTATGAACTTTTTTTCAGTAAAATATGTTCATTTCAGAGACTAGTTGTTAGTCTAATCATGACACTGACCGTCAACAATAAGATAAGATACATTCTGTTACATTTATACGTAACAAGCAGAGATCGTTACAATGAACAAATGGTGTCCAGAAACAAAAGTGGCAAACGCGCAATCCCTTTAAAACAATGAAGGAAGTTTACTTATAACTGTTGATTCAGCTCTTACCAGTCAGTGGCTTTTGCTCCGTCAGGTCGTTCACTTGACAATAAAGTTGTTTATTATCATACACCATCTGAACGCTATTCCACCTAGATGACTTGAAAGGAAACGTAATGTTAAGTAAGTGAAGAAGTTTGGGACCGGCAATGCCAGCGTATCAGAAATTCCTTTCTAATAAGATGTCGTTTTGAGATGAGAGAAACCCATGGAGGCTGAAAGAATTATGTGTGTAAACCCCGGGTAACGTACTGACAAATCCCTGAAATGTTCTGATTGTCGGAGTAACATCCTGGTGGACGTACTTGCTCACTGTCCAGTAGTTCCCGGCCTAAACAACATGCTATTATACTGGCATATGACTACCAAACATGTTATATTTGGGACTACGTTTTCTTAGTAAAGTACAGATTCTAGTACTTTGGTTGGGTTGAGTCCCATCCGGGATTCGAACACACACCCTCACAGTCAGGCACCTAATCGCCAGCACACAAAGTCAGATGCCTAACCCACGTCTTACTAAATGGCATTGTGTATTCATTGTGTCCAATTTACACTTATCAGAGGGGTACACAAAGTCCGTTGTCAGACTACCAGCCGTTCGATTTCCGTTCTTGTGGACGCCGCGGTGGCTGAGCGGGTTAGGTGTATATTCATAGGAGTACCAAGACATACTCATACCATGATAGTGTAAGTGCGGATTTGTCACATAAGTGTAATGTGAGATGCAAGGTACGAATAAGCTCCCCTTATGGTCCTAACAAAAATACTCAAAAAGAATATCATCTCCTTATAGGTGTCCCCCGCCGTCATATTGCTGGAATATTGCTGAAAGCGGCGTAAACCAATACCCGCTCACTCATCTGCTTATATCCCTGTAACACTCTGTGGTATCTTAAAGAACCCTGTCTTAATATATTGCACGTCTAAATACAGCACACCACTGTCCCTCTCCGACTTGCAACACAAGCAGTGTCTTACACATCGGACATTGTTACACAATGAATAACACTGACACAAAAGCCCCTTGAAAAAATATTCAGCTACAAATCTACTGAAGTGAATTGCTGTTAACACGACTGTAGTAGAAATAGTTATTCCTTGGTGAATGTACTTAAAATTACTTACTGTGTAAGGAATCCTGATAATGCTGAAGCCATGAGAGGTGTAAACGGAAAAAACAACATGATGTTTTATTTCGTCAACTTCAATACTGTATGACTTTTTGTTGAAAGCATCCCAGTTGCCTATCACTGCTCGCCGCATCTTTTCTTTGCTCCAGTGAATCCAAGGAAAGAATCGAAATCGTATGGTCAGACTCTCCTGAATTGCATTATTAAAACGCCATGTTTCAAGGGAACCTTCGGCAAAGAATCTAGCTTCATTTTCAATTATCTGAACATTCTTCTTCTTCAAAACAAACGTGTTGCTCCCAGATTCATCTTTGATTCCATGTGAGAAAGTTAGAACTAGATCTGGACGGCATTCTGAAATAGAATGAGTGAGTGAGTTAACATGTAAGTCACATACATCTGCAGTATTTCAGCCATACCGTGACTATGAGAGATGCATATAAATAAAAATAACATAGACAAAGGATAGTAAAATAACTAGGCTATCATGTGATCGTAAAACAATCTTTATGTACACAACACAATATAAAAATGCGGTTAATATCGCCAACAACAACATGTAAATCACCATACTAGAGACCATGGGGACTTACAGTGCTTTTGCTCCTGATAGATTTACACAATACTTTCAAACCTCATGTTTTAAGTGCAGACCTGGACCATGTGCTGCAATGAATGCAATAAGTTCGGGGGCGAGCACCGGGTCGCGGTAACCTGCAGCATTGATGTTTCCAGCGGTTAAATAGAAGTTGTGAACGGGAAATCCCGCAGAAAACACACCACACCACGGCACTCCGCCCCTATATCTATACTGAACCACAAAAGAAACGTCGCTTTTCAAAACCAAATGCAAGATTTTCTTCATATAAAATGATGTTTTTATTATGATTGTTCCATTTTGTTAACATGTTTTTCAATCCAAATTGACAGTTATTACCAACATCAGTGTGTTTTCGGATGAAAAAGCATATCGACCAAATGCCCCTAAAATGGCAGACGTGGTAAAAGGTTCCGTATGACATTCGTGAAAATAAAAATGCACGTGCATATAGTGACAACCCCACCAATGAAAGCGAGTCCCAAACTCTCCTGAAATCATTTTTGTTTTGACACAATCGCCATGGCACGACTTGCGAGAGATCAGAGGAACCAAGTCTTGGGACGACTGCAAGTTGACCAGACTGCACGGAGGGTAGACAATCATTTTATTGTTCATGTTAGGACAGTCTACCTACTGCAGGAGCGGTATCAGGTCACTAACAGCATCCAAGACCGTCCACGCAATGGGCGACCTTCAGTGACATCACAACGTCAAGGCCGACACCACCTGCAGGATCGCTTCCCCAGAGGGATGGAAACAGCACGCCAAACCACTGGGACTCACAACGGACCCATCAATGCCGATACAGTGCGTCGACGTTTGCGCGGGAGAAACCTCTGCTGTCACAGACCATATCGTAGTCCTGTCCTCACCGCTCATCATCACCAAAACTGACTGTAATGGGCAACTCAGCATCGACATTTGCGTTATCGACAATGGAGAACTGTGATTTTATCTCAAGAAAGTCGATACTGTGTTTCGACAGTCGATGGCAGAGTGAGAGTATGGTGAAGGCGTTGAAAACTGTTTTGAAATAGAGTATTGTTGAAAGAGACTGATGGGGTGGTCCAAGCATCATGGTGTGGGTTGCAATTAGTCTGAACCAGATAGTTAGCACCGTGGTGTTCCAGAATCTCGGTCCAGGATGAGGAAATGACTTGACAGCTGGTCGCTATTTTGACTAAGTCATAATACCCCACGTTGTACCACATTTTGGACATTACAGAAATCACATCTTTGTACAGTTGATTGGTGCGATCAAATTCACGTGCAATAATAAGATTACATGACAAGTGGCACATGAAAAAAACGTTTCAGCACTACTGTGGGGTGCACGATGTTTGGATTCACTTAAATGTGCTGTGGTGAGTTTTTTCTTGAGTCGATACCGAGGGATTAATATTACGATACCCAAAAACTGTCTACAATTCATATTTTTGTTTACAAAAAGTTTTTACTTTGACTCAGTATACATTGAGTCCTAAAATCAGCAAAATCCTTTACAAACATACTCTTGGTAAGTATTTCAAGAGTTCATACGAGCACAAAATGTCTTTCAGAAATTGGTTAAATGTAGCAGAGGTTAGATGCTTGATTACAGTTGCTCATTTTTATGGAAGCTGAATGGGTAAGATTGCTGACTTTGTTTGATGGTGATTAGGTTCCCTGCTCTGAGCGTTTGAGTCCGAATCAACTGAAAAAAAAGTACTAGAATCTGTACTTAAGTGAAAAGGTGTAATCCCAAATATAACATATACTACATCATTTAACTTTCGGCAAGTATATAATATACTAAGCAGCAAAAGAAACGTCAGTTTGGAATTTTCCTTCGCAGAAACGGAAAACTGTAAACTCATTTAATGTTTTGATTGTATTTTTTTGACACCATCTCCAACTTTACCTGAGACATTCCATTATCAAACTCAGAATGGAACCCAGGAAATGGTCTCAAAAACGCAATCGGATCTCGGAGATGGTACGGTGTTCTCCATGTTTTTCACGCAACTCATGCTGCACGTGCTGTTCACAAGGACCAGCCCTATTAAATGCACCCCCAAACCTGGATGCCAGCTCAGAGGAACCAGGCGCTAGGAAGACTTGAAGCTGGCCACACTGCACAAGCCGTTGCCAATCACTTCCAGGTCAGCGTTCGGATCATCTACAGCAACCTTTCCGGGCCACCAACACCACAACTGATCGCCCCCGTACTGGCAGACCAAGGCTGACCACAAGACGACAAGACCCCATGTTGTGCGACAGCATGTACAGAATCCCATCATGCAGGCATCCGAAACAGCACGCCAGACAGTGGGAACACACGGAAGACCAATCAGTATTGATACAGTACGCCGCCGTCTTAACAGAGGGACCTTACCGTGAGCCTATCCTCACCCCTCGTCATCGGCGTGAACGTCTTCAGTTTGCCCTACAATACCTAAACTGGCGATACAGGCAATGGAGAACTGTTCTGTTCACAGATGAGAGTAGGTACTGCGTATCAACTGCAGATGGCAGAACAAGAATATGGCGACGACGTGGCCAGCGTTACTCAGATCAATGTGTTATGGAAGGAGACTCATGGGGTGGTGCAAGCATCATGGTACGGGGTGGAATAGGCCTGAACCAGAGAGTGGGTGTTCAAGAACTTTGGTCCAGGGAGAGGAGGCGACATCACAGCGGTGCGCTGTCATGATGTCATAACAAGGCCGAACACAGCCGATTTATTGCGCCCGGCCTTTCTCAGAGCGTGGTTCAAGGTGCCAATGGCCTTCATCAATCCATTGGTGCACCCCATGCATAGACGCTGTGCTGCAGTTATTGCCGCTCGTGGTGGTCACAATAGATACTGATGTCAAGGGTCTGAATGGACTGCAAACGTTCACGTAATGTCTTGTAATTCTGCTGAGTTCTTCACTGTTGTGTCAAGATATTGTACACAAAAATTTTTTTGATCCGCTTATTATGTCTATTTCTGTAATGATTTGATGACAGTGCCTATCTAATTTTGAATTCGTACCGACGGGTTTTTTGCTGCTGAGTATAGTAGGGGAACGTCAATGAACAGACCAGGCTTGTATTTATCAGATAATTAATTTCAAACAAACACAAGTTCCACCATGTTGAAAAGGGAATATCTGAAGGGCTTTCAAAGTGTTAATAAAAAGGTCACTTCCTCAGAGGTCTTCGTGGAAGGACAGTTCAATTCGTGTAGTAAAGATGTTCTAAACAGAGCTTTGTTTTTTTATTCGTGTGACATATTTGTTCCAAAAGAATGTTATGTGGCACTTTTATTTATTGTACAGTACTGTATTGTACCTGAGATACTCTGTTTCTATTTAGGATTCAGTAGAATTTAGTGGTGTACTTGTTGCTATATTTAGACTGGTTGTCAAGATTGAGTTGATATTTTCAGATTTCAGATTATTCCAGCAAATTCTGACCTAGAATTGTACAGAAGATTCGACAGGAACTTTGTCAAAACAACAAAATATTTGAAGACAGTTTGCTGTGTTTAAAAAATCATGATCCTGTCTCGATCATTGCACACTTTATCACACGTTAAAGATAATTTCCCCCTTGGATTGTCAGCCAAGGCTTGATTAGTGTTGCAGTGGGGTGACCATTTTCATGACTTTCTATTATTGCTATACTCAATTCTTAACATAAAATGTGACAGTATTTGTACTGTGATTTGTACTGCTATGGTAGTGATCTGTAAACTTACTTTACAACTGCTTATTGTACAGAATTTCTTTGCTATTTGTTGAGTACACACCAAATTCTTTTATGTAAGACTAACTTTTGTTTTCAAATTCCAACATACCAGCAGACGTATATGCAAATTGGTTCTGTTCCAGAACAGACTTTGCATCATAAGCGCAATTATCATGCCTCTGGCTACACATATGTACCCCCAAAAGAAGCTGTTAAATTTTGCGAAATTTGAATGAGCATCTTTGAAGCCAAAAATATCTGCTTCGAGATACTGTTGTCAGAATGTGCACTTCCAGTTTGTGCAACAAATACATGCACTGCATTGCAATTTTAGAACTGTAATAATCATACTTTTAGCTTTTTAGTAACACAGAAACTGTCATACTCACGTGTAAATCCGACTATGAACTTTAAAGCACATGTGCAAGTGATTGGATCAAATGCAACCCCTCTGGCACATCTGCGCCGGTGAGTTAGGGTTCCAACCTTCTCAAAGTATTGTGTGGGATCCTCTGGATCCGGGGACACTCGTAGGCACTCGGGATCTACAACAGAGTTAACATTCAACTTGTTTGATGGACATTTAAAACTTGGACTTCTAAAGAGGCATAGCCAAATAGATATGGACAACTATTCCAATAGGACTGACGTTTTGGTGTAGGCTCCAACACCATTATTAGGCAAGTGACAAACAGAATATGGATTAAGAGGCATGTAAACAAAAACGAGGAAGTGCTTTTACAGCTGATTGGATTTGAATTTCAATATAGTAGATGGGCCGGTTAACTTCACATGATCAGAGAAAAAGGCTAACAGATGACACCTGTAGAATAAACAAAAGTATTATATGGAATATGGATACGTGTTTATTTCTTTAATAGGCTAACGGCAAACATGACAAATACATCATACATACATTCAAAAGCCTATTATACCTGTTGGGAATCTTTGATGAGTTGATGGTAAGCTGGAGGTATGTAACTGCCTTGATCACGTTTGATTGCTGGTCTTTGATAGTAAATGGTTGTCAATTACAAAATGTTGATGAGCCTGCATTCAGCCACATCATTTAGGAATATTGTAAGTACACATTATAGAAGTGTTTTGACAAACGGTTTGTTTATTGTTTAACTAACACTCAGGAATATTTCATTTTCGTGATGGCGGTCGCAGAGGTGAGGTGAGGTGAGGTGAAATTGGGTTTAACGTCGTGCTTGAGAATATTTCGCTCATATGACGACGTGCATGCGTGTGTATGTGTATGTGTATGTGCGGCTGCTTGTACTAGCCCAGACTGAAGCTGGTTCTATAGTGCTAGCCCACTGAGATACCATACCGCCGTGAAGCATGAATAACCCACTCAGACACATTATACTGACTCCAAGCCAACCAGTCCTTGTTGTACCCATTAATGCCGAGCGCCAGGCAGGGACCAACAAGTACCATATTTTACTTATTTTGTTATGATGCGGTCGGGGACCGAACCTGCGACCTTCCGCTCTCCGGGCGGACGCTCTAACCACTACACTGACTGACTGAATTTGGTTTTACGCCGCTTTTAGCAATATTCCAGCAACATCACGGCGGGGGACACCAGAAATGGGCTTCACACATTGTACCTATGTGGGGATTCGAACCCGGGTCCTCGGCGTGACGAGCCAACGCTTTAACCATTAGGCTACCCCACCGTCCCTCACCACTACACCACGGAGGCGGTCGGCGGTCTCAGAAGTACCATGAGTCCCCAGGGCCCCTTGTGTGGTGGCCTAACTTTGGTTACTGGTTATCTATAGTCCAGTTTTGTATTGTATTGTTATTTTGTCACAATATAAAACCTAGATTTAAGTCTTTTTCATCTGTGATATTTTAGTTCCTTACTGTCTTTTATTGGTAGATTTTATAGTCGTACAGTGTATTGTTTTTGTATAAGTTATGTTAGTCACATAGTGAAGGGATTTCACCTACTTACAATGGAACAGTCTCGAAAACGATGAGAGAGGATGAACCAAGTAAAGATAAGCTGTATTAACAGATTAAGATTGACTGAGACTGAGTAAAAGGTTAACGTTAAATTGGTAAACAAATGACTGCATATCAACATCGCCGGTCTCCAGAATGCTGGTGTTCCAGAGGAAGACACAGGACTTAAATGAACATAAATGTTCTTGGGGTTATTCCATTTAAATGACACAGGTAACAGGCAGGGGATTAGGTATGCATTCGACTGTGAACTTTTGAGTGGTCAAGTTCACTGCATGGCTTGTTTGGTGCCCTCTAGCACCTCAAGATATGCGGAAATATTACATCACTTACTCCAATGCTTGACATCATGAGCATCGATGTATACAATTGAGATATGATGACGTGTGTCAAACAAGTCATGCAGTGAGGCTGACCACTCGATCACGTCAGTCACCTCTTCAAAGAGTATTTTGATCTGTTTTCATTTTAAACAATAAATGCGGGTTTTTTAAAAAACACTTACGTATATATATGTTTGTGGTTTCAAAATATATTTGGCCGTTTCTTCCTTCGTTCCTTATTGGTTTTTCCATCATGGTAGATAATGAATCTGTTGTGAAAGATGGTTGGCTGGTAGTAGATGCAGGTGATATTGTAGAAGCCGAACTAGACATCTCTGCAGTGGGTTTCAACGAAATATTCGTAGGTGACGCTGTACTGGTAATATTTGAAGCTGGGTTTCCTGTTGTGAATCTTGTAACTTTGTGTTTCGTACTTACTTTTGTTATAGATGAACTGGTCTGGGTCATATCAGTTATACCTCTGCTTGAAGGTAAATTTGTAGTTGTGTTCTTAGAAGTGATAGGTGCAGCTGAAGTCTTGATACCAAGGGATTGTTTCATTGTTATGAAAGGCTTTACAAGGGGCGTTTTGCTGGTAGGAGATGTATATTCAGCCGGAGACGTGGTATTACGATGTGAATAGAAAGGAGGCAATGTTCGATTTAATGCTAAAGGTGTACTCATTTGTGATGGTGTTTTAGCAATGAAAAGGGGCAATGGAATTTTCATTCCAAATGAATTATCATGCGATATATCATGATTAGAACCTCTTAGTAAGTCCAATAGTGTCTCACTCCCACCTAAACCTGCTAGCAAACCAAGAGGGATGAGAGTGAAATGGTCTTGTTGCACTAATTGCCTTGTCGTTGTCGATGTCATAAAAGTTGTTGGAGGTGATGTAGAAGTACTAGTTGTTGGTGGTGATGAAGTTGTTGTTGATGGTGTTGAAGTTGTTGATGGTGTTGAAGTTGTTGTTGATGGTGTTGAAGTTGTTGTTGATGGTGATGAAGTTGCTATTGATGGCGTTGGATTTATTGATTGTGTTAAAGTTGATTCTGATGCAGTTTGTTCATTGGTTGTACTGTTGATGATTGATGTAAACAATGAAGATGAACTTCTTGCAGTATTGGTTGCATGAGAGGTAGACGATTTAGTGGTTGGTGAGGCAACAGTGGATATAACAGTTGAAGGATCAGATGGAGAGAGTGATACTGTGCTACTGATCACATTTGAGGTTCCTATCAAGGCGGGTTGTGTCACGACGGTTTGAAGAAAGCTTGATACGGAAGAAGTTGTGACTGAATCCATTTTCGTGAATGTTGGTGTAAAGGAAGTTGAAGCAATAGCATCTGGCACAAAGATTGGACTAGTCATCAAAGTGCTCCTTTCACTGTTCTTTCTCTTGCTATGCCACGAAACTGGTGTTCCTGAAATAAATATACCTGAATATATATAAAGAGAGAGAGACAGACAGAGAGAGAGAGAGAGAGAGAGAGAGAGAGAGAGAAACGCAAAGTTGACGTCACGTCACGTCACACTGAATTTGAGTGGGTGTTTAAGTAAGTGCACCTTTAACTTCAATTTTACTTCCACTTTTATCAAATCGATCCTCCTCACACACATGGGAAGTGTTGTCACGATTTGTGTGAAGACAATATTACGTCTATTAATCCAAACATGTGTAATTGTATAGTATGTCACTGATATATATGCCGTCATATAGCTTGGATATTGCTGAGTGGGGCATTAAGCAACAAACCAAACACTGATATATACAGATTAAGCCAACCTTACCTGAACATATAGCATTCCTCACTTCATCACTGACACTGGCAAGTTCATCAAAAGTGTTAAGGAGAAAAACTTTACTTTTGTCATCTACTAGAGCTGCCACTTCCTCAAATCTGATCGAACTGCCGATGCCAACAAATATGAAATCAACACCTATATTCCTAGCCATTCGGGCTTCCTCTATTGTTTTAGCTATATTTTTGGAGTATCCATCAGTGATTAAGACAGCTTTTAACAAAGTATTTTGTCGTGATTGTTGAGAGAACATATATCTCAATGTCTTAAGAGCTATGTTGGTGCGAGTTCCATCACGGGGTTGAGCAGCAGCAAGGACAAAGTTACTAAAAGTGTCAGGATCTGCTGGTTTGTCCAGTTCGGTTATGACGCTTACATCTGAACTGAACACTTCAACTCCAACATGAAGATGTCTGAAAGATGGAGCAGTCATTTGCAGTGTGGCAGTATTTACCACCACAAAAGCTTTCTGTTGAAGAAATGCTGATTCTGAAACACTTTCAGATCCATCCAAGAGAAAAACGACATCAGTCTGATAAGGGCAACCTGTAAAAACGTATACGAACATATTCACTGCAGAGACAATTGCTTTTCTATTTCACATAAAACTTGGAGTGAGTGGGTGAGATTCAAAGTCTCGTCAGAAACATAATAATATAAAACGTTATACATAATCAATACGTTTATACTACATAAAAACTTATCATTTGTATATGACAAACTTGTACAAAAAACTACATGTTTTTGTATATGCATTGAAAACGAGATTCTGAGTATAATAATGGTAACTGTAACATATTTTACTCTGATAAAAACAGAAAAATGTAACTGACATTGAAAGTTGTAACAACATACTTGAAATCTGAGAGCAATACACAAAAAACATGAACATCAAAGTATGATCAGAAGGCATGTCAGAAGTCTGATTGCCACACATGGTTGTTGTATGTGTATGAACCACCACAAGTGACCACACCTGGACTGTGATGAGTGAGTTATATACTGTTTCTAAATGAGCTCAGTTCTCAAATGAGTCAATCTCAAATTTGCTCATGACATAGTTGGCCTTGTAGAATGGATAAACGTGTTACAATCACACTCCATAATCAGTAAGGAGGAATGTTTAATTCAATTACCACAATTACAAACCAAACAAACCCTGCATAATTGACCCTTTGACTTCAGCTAGCTATTGATGCATTATTGACCTCAAATGTGTCAATCTCAAATTTTCTCATGAGCAGTAAGTGAGTGAGTGAGTTTCAATTTATCGTCACATCGGCAATATTTCATATCGTGACGAGAACAATTAATTTTATACATAGTAATTTATTGTAAATTTGGAAAAACCTGTCAACGAAAGACAGTAAAATAACTAGATTATCACAGATTCGAATTTAAAACTAGTAATTAGATCTAAAACAGTTTAACTATAGAGGACAATACAGTATAAAAACAGGCTATATTTTGCCAACAACTGAAGGTAGATCACCATACTAGGGACCCATGAGCAGTAAGAAGGAATGTGTAATACAATTACCAGAATTGCAACACAGATTTCACACTAAATAAAAGTGTGTTTCAAATTATTGACTTGGTTGGTCTTTTTTCGTTCTTCAATGAGAGCTCATGCATACAAACAGGGAAGAGCTTCGGGGCCGTTCGACTATCTCCGAGGGTGCACGGCAACGTCAAGGATAGGTAGGTGTGACAGATGAATGTGCCAAGTGTATAGTTACAAGTTCCGAATTCCAAGTGTGTACAAGAAATGCAAAAATACCGAATATGAAAAAAAATCAGATTGGGGATTCGAATCCCTAATGTGAACAAAACCCATTCAGATTCAGGATTCGAATCCCCAATCCACAATCCCGAATCCGTTTCTAACGTCATGTTGCTTGGATTCTGGGGGTGTTTAATTCAGGCTCATGTGTATATCTAAAAGCAATATGTAATAATCAAAATATATCACTGTACATACAAATACAGTGAGTTAAAAGTTAGTCACAATATTTCAGCCATATCGTGAGTTTGATGCGAGTTATTGACTATGCGACTTCAATGATGTCAGGAAGGACAACAATATATGGATGGACAACTTTTTCATTACAGTGAGAGCTCAGCCAGAGACACAGTCAAGAGATTCTAGTTGAAACAGGCAAATATAGACGTAGTATTTGAGAGGGTTAACACCATCTAAAACACCATCACAGCTTCAGGGAAAAAACACATACACCACGATTAAAACTAGCGTAGGAGTAACTTTTTTTTTAAATGACGGGGAATAAGAGTTATGTAACATATACATGTAGATGACATAAATCCCTATCATTAAAGGACAGAAAAAAATGACCAGACTATCACAGATGTTGTTTAAAACCAGGATGACACCGTAATAATTATATTTCCATACCTAATACCAAAGAAAACGTCTAGGAAGCAGGCCGTTGTCTACATACTGGACCCGCTTCAGTTCGCCTGCAGGTCAAGGAGAGGAGTTGTTGATGCCACACAGTCACTCCTTAATAATGCCTAGAAATATCTAGAGACACCGAAGTCATACATCAGGATCCTCGTCGTTGACTTTTCATCTGCGTTCAACACCATCCAGCCACATATCATGATATATGATGCCTGGATTTGGTGGTAGTGCCCCTGGAGCAGAACGTTTCAATACTCTCCTCCCATTTTGCGGTATAGTCGCTGACTTGGTTGACACATGTCATCGTATCGCAATTGCATACCTCGATGATCATGCTGTTGATCACTGGATTGTAGGATCCTGACTCGATTGTTTACAGACTGCCGCCATATAGGTGGAATATTGCTGAGTGCTGCATACAACTAAAGCCACTGCTATGTACATGCCAAAATATTTGACATAGTCATAACTAGTTGACATATTCAAGACGAGTATGTTGCCATTGCAAGGATGACTTATTCATCTTGTTTGTCGACTTGTGAGGAAGTATGTGACCACAAGTGAAGAAAAGGATTCTCCATGACCTAGAAGAAAGAGGAAGACTGATGACCATGGTTACTGAATCCTAATTCGTCAGGCAAGTTCAACCCTAGGGCACTTGATGAATAATTGTGCCGGAAATGGAGAGTGAGAGTCCAATTCTCAACCGGTACCACCAGAGGGAGGATGCGGACGGTTGCTCTGATGGAAAGTCGACCAGACATCCCTTCCTTACAGATTTACACGGGCAGGAACACTGTGCAGGCTCCAAGAAAACCGCAACTTGAGGACAAGGCGTTAGGGTCACTTGTCTACTGAAAGTCACTATCTTCTACACACTACCCACGGCCGTAGTTGTTAGGCATATCATCAGGAGATCATCCATGCAGATGGACCACTTGGTGGTGACTCAGTAATGGTGTGGGGATGCGTTTCATATAGATTGTTTCAAGACGGATCTCATAACAGTACCCAGGATAATTTGTCAACATTATCAACAGGAGGTACTGGACGTCGCCAGTGTGCCACATTTTTATAATCACCCCCTTGCCTGTCGTCTGATATTCATAATAGGCAACTTACCTCGCTGTTCTTGAGATGTCATCACCATTTGTAGGACAAGCATTGTCAATAAGTTGACATAATAAATTATGAAATCAAACTTAAAAAAGTAATGAAAGTGAAGGTCGTAGATTAAGATGAAGTTAACTGTCAACAAAAACACGACCAGTCAACCTCTCTTGATATCGTGCTGTGTAGTGGTTCAAACACACAAATATTTTCAAGACTCACTTCGACCTAGACATGAATGTCATGGTGTATGAAATATGCAAAAAAAAGTAATAAAGAAATTGCTTATCAAAACACATTCAAGAGAAGTCTTGAAAGTCTACGTTTGGTCATACAAATTTGTCAGTCAAATAAAGATTTTGATTTTGATGTCAGCATTGAACCTTTGACTAATGTAGATGATAACATGAGCCTGCATACGGGAAAATAGAAACTGCATGTATATTAGCATTAGGATACTTTACATTGCTGGGTTGCTGGGTTACAGCAGTGCTGCCCACACAAGGAAGTGGTCTGTGAAGTAGACACGTCTAGGGGTGGTGTCACATACACAGCTGCAGGGGGTATAGATAAGGTCCAGGTGTCCTCCATGGATGTGAGTTGGCCCACAGACACCAGGAACTGGAGACAGGGTGTGCCTCGACACTTCATCTAGCTTGTTGTAGTTGTCCATGTTGAAGTCACCGTACAGGACTGTAGGGAATGATGACAGTTGTAGCTCAGAGAGTGCTTTGTTCAGGTTTCGAAGAAAGTCTCTTAGTGGTCCTGGCTGACGGTAGACAGTGGTGATCAGGCCGTCTTTGTAGTTTATGGAAACTATTGAAGCTCACAATTCGAGAGTAGTGTTGACATGGACTTGAGTGTGTGCACAGTCCTTATGGATGAACATTCCTTATCCATGACCTGACTGATGGATAATGAGTTGGTGTGAACTAGATCTGTCGTACCTGTCAACTACCGTATCTGTGAGATGTGTTTCAGTCATACACAGGACAGTGGAAGAGTGTTGTCTTCAGTCAGAAGATGATCCATATGTGCATGCAGTAAACGCACATTGAGATGTCAAATATGACGAAAATACAGTGAATCGTTTGTGAGATGTGTCGCTGACAAGGTGAACATGCAGGTTAACAAACTGTAATACTCAATGTGTCGCTATGACCTTGAAGAATACGTGATGGGTGAGTGAGTGAGTTTAGTTTTACGCACGCCGTTTTATTCCAGCTATATGGCGGCGGTCTATAAATAATCGAGTCTGGACCAGACAATCCAGTGATGAACAGCATGCGCATCGATATCCGCAATTGGGAACCGATGACATGTGTCAACCAAGTCAACGAGCCTGACCACCCGATCCCGTTATTCGCCTTTTACGACAAGAATGGGTTACTGAAGATCAATTCTAGCCCGGATCTTCACGGGTAAGTGCCATGATGAAGCTTGGTGTCAAATATGAAGAAAATCCAGTGGACGCTTCTTGATGAATTTTGCTGATAGGCTTAACATGCAGGTTAACATGCTGAAATCTTCAAAGTGTCGTCATGACCTTGACAATTATGTGAAGGTCACCAAAATCGACTGGGCTCTGTACCTTCCATGGATGAAGCTTGCTGTCGAATATGACAGCTTGGTTCCATATCCAGAGAACGGTTTTTGAGATATCTCGCTGACAAGAGCAAAACGTTAAAGCCCTCTTGTGACCCTGAAATGAAGATCGATGTCACCAAACCTGACTGTGACCTTTCTCATACAGTGATGAACGTAGGTATCAAATATGAAAAGAATCTAGTTAACGGTTCTTAAGATATTCCAATACGTACAGACGGGCGGAACCTAATACTATATAATGACGTAGAAATATTACCATTGCCGCACAAGGAGACATGACAAGATATGAGTGAGTGAGTTAATATTTATCGTCACATCGGCAATATTTCAGCTATATGGTGAAGGGGGCAATATATTATTATATTATAGATCAATACAATTAGAAAATAAAAGTATGTTGTCGAAGAACAGTATAACTACTAGTATATCACAGATATTAAAGTAAAACTAGCATGCTATCATAAAACGATATTATTAAATAGGACAATACAATATAAAAATGGGCTATAGTTTGCCAATAACTGAAGGTAGATCACCATGCTAGAGACCAAGGGTGATAAGATGGGAACCCTATTAAAGATTTATACTTATCGAACTTTAAGTTGCAGATGTCATCTTCAAAATCGACAGCATATACTTATGAGGAATGGCAGATGATTCCGCTGCTGAGAATTCACCGCTTGATTGTCTGTATAAGGAGGAGACTGGCTGGTGGTATCCATACGAGGGGTGTCGCTAAACCAGGTACACCAGTAATGGTTCAATCACAATCGCAACAGTCATTAATGTGCAGACTTTGTTACTATGAGATTGGTGGCGTAGTTATGGTGACCATACCTTCAGCATTGTTGTTATGTGTATTCCTTTCAGATTGCTAGTAAATTGTTTCCAAATTTCAATTTCAGTTCTGGGTTGTTTTTGTGTTGTTGTTTAAATTGGGTTAAAACATGTTACAGGTACCATTATATTACAAGGAAGCCAGTTTTCAAAGCATGCACAATAACATACCGTTATCGTTACTTACCGTAACTGGGCCGGTGGGTTGTACTAATGGTTAAAGCGTCCGCTCGTTACACTGAAGATCCTGGTTCGATTCCCCACTTCTGGTGTCCCCCGCCGTGATATTGCTTGAATATTGCTAAACGTGGCGTAAAAGTAAACTCATTCAATCACTTACCGTATCAAAACTACTGGGTAATACCTCATTATTGCGCCTGCGTATAGATTGGATCGTAAGAGGGTCTGTGATTTTGACAACTGCCCCCCTAAGTATGCTGAATATTAGTGCATTAAGATTAAGATTCATTATTAATGTGGATACGTTGACATGTGTTAACCAAGTCAGCGAGCCTGACCACCTGATCGCATTTGATGCCTCTTGCGACAGGCATGCGTTGCCACATTGCAATAATTAACGTTTCACTTACCAAGTGTGGAAGAAATGGAAGCCATGAGGATGACGAAGGTGATTTGTAAAACCATAATTGCTGGGGTACTTAAACCCCAAGGATCAGACTCTGAAAGGTAATCATTGCACAGTATTTCAAGTCAATGACTGAAAAAGTAGCAACAATAGCCATGTTTGAAAGCTGCTACGAGTGAGTGAGTAAGTGAGTTACAATTTATCGTCACATCAGCAATATTTCAGCCATATCGTGACGAGAACAATTAATTGGTATACATAGTAAGTAATGGTAAATTATAAAAACCTGTCAACGAAGGACAGTAAAATAACGAGAGGATCACAGATATAGATATACAACTTTCAAATATAGAAGACAATACAATATAAAAAGAAACAGGGTATATATTGCCAACAACTGAAGGTAGATCACCATACTAGGGACCATGGGGACAATAGTACATTTGCTTCCTGCATGAAAGCTGTTATGAGCATATATTTGCGAATGTGGGCATTGATATAATAAATCTGTTGTTTGTTCCACATCATCACACTAAACATTTTCCAAACAAGATTTATCAGAAAATGACATATCCCCCCGGCCCCACATATTTGAAAGAACAAATCATCTGACAGTTACTTAAACTTCAGTCCAGCTTGATTAGTTTTCTACTAAGTCCAAATCGTTTCCATGGAAATGATGAAAAATATAAATGCCAAAAATCTGTAAATGTCAAAAGGCACTACTTTAAGATCTGTCTCATATATCTGCCAAGTTCTGGTGAAAGATATTGAACGGTTTTCGAGTTGTGCTCGAAGCCCGCCCCTTCCTTTTGAGATAAAATCCGAATTGTTTTCATAGAAACCGAGAAAATAATAAATAAAAAAATCTGAAAATATCAAAGGCACCACTATAGTTTCTGTTCGATATATCTACCAATTTTGGCAGAAATGTATTGAACGGTTTTTGAGTTATGCTTCGGAAACGAAGCCCACCCCTCCCTTTTGAGACTAAATCTGAATCGTTTCCATGGAAACCGAGAAAAATAAAAATGCCAAAAATCTACAAATAGCAAAAGGCACCACTTCAAGATCTGTCTCATATATCTGCCAAGTTCTGTTGAAAGATATTGAACGGTTTTTGATCCGGAAACGAAGCCCACCCCTCCCTTTTGAGACTAAATCCGAATCGTTTCCATGGAAGCCGGGAAAAATAAAAATGCCAAAAATCTGCAAATAACAAAAGGCACCCCTCTAGGATCTGCCTCACAAAATCTGCCAAGTTTTGCTGAGAGATATTAAGAAGTTTTCGAGTTGTGCTCCAGAAACGAAACCCACCCCTCCCTTTTGAGACTTAGTCCAAATCGTTTCCAGTGAAATCATGAAAGATATAAATGCCAAAAATCTGTAAATAGCAAAAGGCACCACTTCAAGATCTATCTCACATATCTGCCAAGTTCTGTTGAAAGATATTGAACGGTTTTTGAGTTGTTCTCCGGAAACGAAGCCCACCCTTCCCTTTTGAGACTAAGTACGAATCGTTTCCATGGAAACCGGGAAAAATAAAAATGCCAAAAATCTGCAAATGGCAAAAGACACCACTTTGGGATCTGCCTCACATATTTGCCAAGTTTTGCCGACAGATATTAAGAAGTTTTTGAGTTATGCTCCGGAAACGAAGCCCACGCCTCCTTTTCAGACTAAGTCCGAATCGTTTCCATGTAAACCGAGAAAAATAAAAATTACAAAAGTCTGTAAATAGCAAAATGCACCACCTTAGGTTCTGTTTGATATAACTGCCAATTTTTGTTGAAAAATATTGAACGGTTTTAGAGTTATGCTGCGGAAACAAAATGTTTATGGACGGACGAACGGACGGACGGACGAGGCGTCGACTATATCCCCCTCCGGGGTGGGGTGGTTAAAAAGGTGAGTGAGGTAGGTGAGTCATCATGAGTAGATATGTCATGTACATTAACGCTAAGCATAATATTAACGAGTAGAGGTGTATCGAACTAATTATAATATATAATGTTTGAGTAAGTGAAATGCTAACGTCATATCAGCAATAGTTATGCCATATCGTGACATGCACATTTCAAACATTAATAACAAAATATGGCAAATTAGAAACCTGTTGACATAGACCCTAGCCATACAAAACAAGTGTAGAGACTTAAATATGTTAACAATTATAATATTAACATTTGTGCCTCATTAAATTACATGGTTCCTAGCAGAATGTAGCACATCCCTGTTGACAAGGTGTAGCCAGAGATGGTAACAAACAAAAATATTTTCTGACTACACTACTTCAACAAGTGGACAACAATTATCAATGAAGTATATTATTCATTACATCCTTCTAATGTCTAAAATACCCAACTTGTACATCACAGTTTATCAATTTGTTTTACTCCTTTTTATAAATCTTATTATTTAAGAGATTCTGAACTAGTCTCATTGGATCGTAAAAAAAGCTTGGAATTGTTATTTTTGGTAAAAGGCCAGGTTTGATCTTGAATAATGACCTGTTCAAATGTGGACAGACCTACTTCAGTAAGTCTAACCGATGGAAGCATTCATTGCAAGCAATATATTTTTACTTACTATAACTAGGCTATTTGGAATTAAAAACTAAATCTTTTATGAATGTTTAGGTAAATATCAAAAGTTGAGATAAAAAAAGGTGAATATACTTGGAAGGTGCAATGACCAGAGTAACCAAAACGTTGATTCAGTATGTATGACAATATGTATGTGTGGAAGATGACATCTTTTAGCCATTACACTCAGTCAGTATAATGTGTCTGAGTGGGGTATTCGTGCTTCACTGCGGCGTGGTATCTCAGTGGGCTAGCACTATAAAACCAGCTTCAGTCTGGGCTAGTACAAGCAGCCGCACATACACCTACACACGCATGTACGTCGTCATCATATGAGCAAAATATTCTCCAGCGCGACGTAAAACCCAATTTCACCTCCCCTTACCTAAGGTAAATAACCAAGTAATTTATTGTGGAAGATTCTGGTGGTACCGAATAAATCTTCTAAGTGGAGTAGTGGAAAGATCATATTTTGTATGACGTAGGGCATGCTTATTGTGGGAAGAGAGAAAATTGTCATCAGTACTATTTTGTTAGTTGTCCAATTCTCCAGACCAGAAGAGTAGTGAGGCTAAGTGCCAGTGCAGAAGAGTATAACACCCCGAAACCCCTTCTTCTGCTTAATGACCAGAGGTTTACTGAATGTATAGAATGAGTGGTGTCTCGGAATTGTTGCTTTGGAGCTAGAGCGTATTTATTATTTTGTTTTACAGATTAAAATATATAGCTCCGAGCCCCAAAAATGAGACACGTTTTAAAGAAGATTTTGGGTCGTCGCGTGGTGAATTCGAACATGTTGTGGTAATATTTTGCACCTTTAGCGTCAGTATGACGTTCTCGGCATCATCACCCCCTTTGGTGGGTCAGGTCACATGATGATGTTGTAGCAACCGACTTCCTAGTTACTGACTGACTGACTGAGTGTGGTTTTACGCCGTTTTTTGCAATATTCCAGCAATATCTCGGCGGGGGACAGCAGAAAATGGGCTTCGTCCTAGTTCCTGACGTTATGTCAAAAACCGAAGCAAAATATCGACTTCTCTCTTTATATGAAGCAGGGTGCAAATCATTTCAGAAGTTGCGGGACATATCGGGGTTACCTAGGAATATGACTTATTGCCTACCCGTGAAGATCCAGGTAAGAAATTGAAGAACCTCGTAAGAGGTTAACCCATGTCATCGGTTCCCAATTGCGCAAATCGATACTAATGTTGTTGATCACTTGATTGTCTGGTCCAGACTGCCGCCATATAGCTGGAATATTGCTGAGTGGGGCGTAAAACTAAGCTCATCAACTTATTGCCTGATTTCAAGCTGCTTGCGGTTTTGACCTCAAGCCGGGATCGGGACGTCCACATAAACACGGTGGGAATGATATTAGACGACTCACACATTGTGCATCCACACTGGTCAGCAAAACCACTAGGTGAGCATGCCACAGTTTTAGGGAGTACAAAAGTGTCTGAATGGACTGCACTCAGAGAGTTCATGTGCACTACCACAACCGGAGTTGAGTTGAGTTGGGTTTTGCGTCACATCGGCATTATTCCAGCCATATAGTGACGAGAACAAAGTTGCATTAATAAACATTGTAAGTACATACTCGTTATTTCAAAAACATATATTCATTACATTGTCATTTCAAAGCAGAAAAAGTCATAGCACCAAATTTAAAGGCAGGCAATTTGTTAGTCACATTTCACAGTTACAATTTATGATAGTTACATTTCACAGTTACAATTTATGATACAGATAAACTTCCCTCAGGTAGTTCACTATCAGATGAGCGCTCACGCGGGAGAACAGATCCTTAAGGTTTGGTGCATCATAATGTGAGTCCCTTGCAGACGATAAGTCCACGCATTCAAGCAGAATATGCTTGATGGTGAAAACCTCATCGCAAGAGACACACATGGGGGGTCAATCCCCATCGGTTTTCAGCAGATAGTCATGAGTAAATCGACTGTGGCCAATACGACATCAGCAGTGGAGATAAGGGCTTGTCAAGAGCTGCTTTTGCTGCAGCATCGGCTTTTGTGTTACCTGCTATGCCGACGTGACCCGGCAACCAGCAGAGGACGATGTCACATTGGCCAGTAGAGAGGTCGTTGTAAAGTTCTAAAATGTCCAGAATGATTGGGTGACTTGAAGTAACATTTTGAAGTGCTTGAAGGCAAGATAATGAATCTCTGAAAACGATGAAGTTTTTGGAATGATTCTGCTGTTTAATATAGGTCAAAGCTGAAGAGATAGCTTTGGCCTCGGCAGTGAAAATGGAACTGTTGTCGGGAATCCTAGAGGAGACAGTCTTAGATCCAATGACTGTAGCACTTGCAACTTGGCCCTCCATCCTTGGATCCGTCTGTGAAAATGGATCTATGGGTGTCATATTTGGAACGTAACTGGTTGTATTCCTGCTGGAACACCAAGGCATTTGTTTCGGACTTTTTGAGTTTAGTGAGGGTAAGATCGACCTGTGGTTTCACCATCTGCCAGGGTGGTGAAGACA